TTCCTGGATATGAATCAATCAGCCAACTGACATCAAGCCACCGAAGTAACAGCCGTGGGCAAATAGCCAAACTGTTGCGTGCTTGTATTTAACACAGCCTGGCGTATTTGCGGCTTTTGAAAATAAGTGCCCGACATAACAGCGCCTTTACGTCAAAGCCACTGCTTCATGGCACTCTACTCCACAGGCTAAAGCGCAAACCGCCGTCCCTATAACGCCATGCCCCGGCTCTCCCCCTTCCCAGCCAGCAGAAGGCTTTTCTCGTTAACCGATCAGTAATGCGCCTGGCGCGATGGAGGGACCTAACCTAACCTAACCCAACCAAACCTAACCTAACCTGGCGCACAACTGATCAGCAATTGAAGAAAGCCTTATGGCTGTGAAGGGGGAGAGCCGGGGCATGGCGTTATAGGGACGGCGGTTTGCGCTTCTGCCCGTGGAGTGTGGCGGGATTACGCCAGTCCTGCAAATAGCAGAGCAGGTTTTCGGTGATCTGGCATGGTCTGCGGCTAGTAAGGCTTACGGCGTTAGTAAAGAAGTGATAGTATGGGGTAAAATTCTGTGGAGTAGGACCTGTTGACAATTGACTATTTGATTCAGCAGGCTGTGGAGTGAGGTAGGTGTTGCTTAAAGTTGGTGTGGGAAGATGACTCAGTTACCTACAGCTTCTTGGGTGTGAGCTGAGTTTAGTTATTGCATTATAGTGTAGGCGTTGGCGCCAGGGCTTGTTTACGAGCTAAATTTGTGGTTTAGGGCTGTGCTCCCAGTGCGTACAGGCAATGGCGCATGGTGCGCGATGGCGGCGTTAGAGCGAGAGCCCATTTGGCTTACTTTAAATTATCTGATACAGTGATATTGATAGTCCTATCTCAGGCTCTCTGAGAAATATCTGTGGGGACAGTGGGGTGTGGGCCTGTGGCCTAAGGCTTATGTATCCCCTGAAGCTGAAGGCTGAATTTTGCTGAAACTATATAGCATTTACTATTACTAGCGCTGCTCCATTCATTGCCCTCAGCATGCTCCTGCCAGAGCCAATTTAACACATTAACTTGTGTGAAAAACCGGGAAGCCTGCCGAAGACCACCACTGCCCTGGATGTAATGGACTATCATGACTCCTGCCCTCCGGAACGTAGCCTTCAACACTTCTGGAAAATCATATAGGCAGCCGAAAGCCACCAGACAGAACGAATCAATTGAATTAGACCAATCAGCCCTCAGGAGAAACAGCCGGCTATCGAATGGCCTAGCGTCATCCGCCGTACCGCGAAAAAATTGTACACCACTCGGACGTAGCGCGCCGGAGCCTTGCAGCGAATGTGATATCCGCCACCAAGCCGTCCGTATCTAGGCAGTGCTTCGAACCAGCCCTTGGTCGAATGCCCGCGGGTCGAACGCTCCAGCCGAGTGCTAACCCAACCTAACCTAACCTAACCTAACCTGACTCAGCCAGTCGCACGGCTCTTTTGACCGACGGCCTGGTGGTGCACGGCAGGTTTTATGCGAGGCCGGAGGTGGGCAAATCCAAGTGGTCGCAGGCTGTTGCGCGCAAGTTGCAATTCGAGCGGTGGCCAGGGTATGAAGTGATGCTTCGACGCAACGTTCAGGGGTGGACAGCCATTTGACCCTAGTCTATTCGACCTCGTGTCTGGGGGGTGTGGAGCTCAAAATATTCAAAGCAGAAGGATGTCAATGATCGGTTACGGATAGCAGATTCCATTCACGGCTGATTGGTGGATGTCCGGAAAGATCCAAGGCGTTCGATTCAGGGCTTATTGGTGTACAAAATTTGTGGTGCACGGCTGCGTTCCCTGAAAAACCAAGTTAATTTCTCAAGACCAAGCATGAAAACTACCATTAGGGCCACAGGTCCGCAACTAGAGATGTCATGCCATTTCTGGTGACTGGGAGTTGAGATTTCCACCAGATGAATTACAGATTACCTCCTATCTAATTGTTGATAAAAGTGTACAATCGGGACAAGAGATTCCAATATATTGAGAATTTGTCATATTGGAGCCACAAGATTTCAGAAACAAATAGTAAAATTCCAATCCTGCTCAAGAATAGAGCTATTATGTAATTTTCTGAGCTGCTAGATTCCTGATAAAGATAGATGAATTAGCCTAGCTCTATGTAATTTGTTATAAAACTGCATGATTTCTTGATTGGGCCAGGACTGCTCATGCTCATGAGAGTTGAAATAACTCCCTAAGTAGAAAAATTTCAATCTAGGGTAAACGCGGTATATTCCGACAATGTGGGTAATTACAACACCTCTCTAGTTTTTCCTTTATATTAAGCTTTGTTTTAGTTCCATGCGTTTGTTGATGGATGAAATAGTGACGTCATACATTTGCGCGTCAAACTACTGCCAAAACACTAGGTCTGGGCCATCTAGCGGGAAAATGTTGAGATCCAAAGAGAGACGGTGCATGCCACCCAATGAGATCATTGAAAAATGTGTTAAAGTTGACAGTTGACCTTGCTCTACCAAATAGTTATAAACTCTTTGTGTGGAAAGAATATTATGGTTTGAGACTTTTAAATACGTCTGTGAATATATTAGGAATCCTTCAAGTATACCTGTATTTGCTGATTTCAAGTGGTAAATAAATTAATAGATGATTAAGTTGAGAAATGGATTTAGACACATAAAAATAATTCCAACACAACTTAAATTGGACACACACAGCTCGTTCCAAGCTGTGTGCAAAAATTATAATTTTCTTAATTAAAAGCTTAATAACTGTTAATTAAAAGCCTAATTAAGTAGTGCTCAATATTCAATAGCGTTCTAATTCAAAGCGTGTTGTATTCCAATGCAGCTCACACAGCAATTGGAATTCAAACACGTGGATGTTGGAATTACGTATTAGTACAATTTGAAGCGTGGTCGGAATAAGTCTCACCACACGCCGAATATAGTCACACACAATGTCGGAATATAGGGATTTGGTAGGTTTGCATTCTAAAGGCTTTTAAATAAATATGGCAACATTTTGTGACGTTTCATTGTTGCTGGTGCGTCGTGCGGTGTTTTGAGAGTCACGTGAAGCAAACAGAATTCGAGTAACGCATACAGTTTTTTATAGTTTTTCATTTCTCGATGCGTCCTTAATGTGTCGGAATGTACCGCGTTTACCCTAGTCCCTGACAGTTGTTGAGTGAGCCTTATCCCTTTAGCGGGCAAGCATTGAAATATCCAGAAATTAAAATTTCAGAAACCATTTCAATAAAGTAAGAAGTATTATACAAAATATTTATTTCTATGTATTTTTGCAAATTTTGCCCATTAAGGGTTTAAATGGCACTTGAAGAATTTATTAAATGTGGTTGGTGCACAAAATTTTTCTTTATAATTGAAATTCAGTTTATACAAATGAAAAATTAGAAACATAACAATATACTAATTTACTTAAATTTAATCAAGTTACCAAAATAAATAAATATATATATTGATACTTCCACCTTATGAAGAAAATGCGGAAAGAGTGCCAATTCCATTGTTCGAGTCAAAACCTTCATTTAAATGCTCATATTTCAATTTGTGGACTTTGCAGCTGGTGATGCTATTGATAGAATGATGGTCAGATAATTAGTGATTGACTGAGGCATTATAAGGATGCCTCAAAAACAAACAGGAAGCCGTGGTGAGGCTTTTTGTGACGCGATTTCAAGTGATCATATATGGTAACATACCCGTGAAAGGGTTAAAGGTGTGTAAACAAAATTTTTTTTCTTTGAATTGTAACAAATATTATACATCAGAAAAAAAGAAAAAATCTAGAAAAATAACATGTAAATATACTAAGTAGAGTTATTACTAGAGTATAAACACAAGTGAAAAAGCTAAGAATTTTTTCCTTTATTCAATTACGTCCCAAAAATAGCATTATTTTTGGTTTCCTACAAGCCAATTTTTGGTTTCCTACAAGCCTACCATTTCTAGGTTTCCTACAAGCCAATTTCAAAGATTTTAGCACCACAAGAAAGCTCTTGTTATAGGCTATATATTCTAGCTAAAATAAAATGTTTTGGTTGAGACATTACCTGCATGTGGGACTGAGTATGGGTGGGGTGGGAAAAATGGGTGTGAGTGACCATGTGACTGATTGATATAAATGGTGTAAATTGACCATAAGGCAGAATTGAACAGAATATATTCCAGTTTCATGGTTTTTGGCACCATAAGCAAGCTTAAATTAATATTAATTTAATATAATATATCATAATATGAATAAAAATGTTAAATATTGACTTTTATTATTAAATAATTGATATTTATTAATAATAAAATTGATTAAATCTATATTTACTTCAGTACTAGTTATTTAAATTACAGCCAGCTAAGAAGTAAAACTAGTACCAAGTAGTACTCTAGCCCCTAGCGCTAGATTGACTAGCACTTGACTAATTAAGTAGACTAGCAGGGTGCATACTGGTCATGGAAAGCCTGGAAATTCATATATGAGGCTGGAAAATTACAAGTCTTATACAAGTCTGGAAACTTGTGAGTTGTATACGAGTGACTTGTATACGACTCACAATTTTCCAGATTCATATACTACTTTCCAGGTTTTACATTACCAGTATGCAGGACACACCATGGACTAGAGCAGTATTGGGTAAATGCAAGTAAACAGTTTCATGTAACAGTGTCTTTGTAATAGTATCACAGGCATTGGAGTTGAAAAATTGTTTTTATTGCAACTTCCACCATCGCTATGGGACTATTGGCAGAGCTCTGAAATTTAAAGAGCATGCTCTAAGAACTGTTAGCTTGATTTCTCACTATCTTTCATTAACAGTCTAATAAGATATCAAAGTTTTTAGCACAAAGTGGCACCTTTTTGCAAATTGCAGCCAAGCAAGTAGACGACAAATTTCTAAAAAAACATGGTTGTGTCATCATAATTTAAGTTCATTTTGTGAATATCTTTCCCCCTTAATAGCTTGATAACAATAAAATTGTATTGTTAAATTATTTGTTTCTTTTCAGATAACTAATTTTACCATAAATATGAGTGGAATTCTGTTTGAAGATATTTTTGATGTTAAAGACATCAACTGTGATGGCAAAAAATTTGACAGAGTATCCAGACTACACTGTGAAAGTGAATCTTTCAAAATGGACCTCATTCTGGACATTAACACATGGCTTTATCCTATGGATTTTGGGGATAAGTTTCGTCTAATCTTGGCGCAGGTATGTTTGAAACTTTCCATATTTGGCTCCTCTTCTTTTGAACATATAATATTTTTGTATTTAACTTGCTAGTATGACATGACTTTAATAAATATCAAGGCCAGTGATTTAGTATAGTTGAAGTTACTCATTTATGCAGGTTTTATTGAAACCAGAGCATGACTTTTATTAACAACAGAGCTGTGCATCATTGTTTTTTCAAAAAACTGAACAAAATTTCTTGCTGGTATTGGTAGATTGAAAAACAGGTTACCAAATGACATTTCACTGGAGTATGATGTTCCAAACACTTTAACTTTGAAAATCACAAAAGTACCTACATAAAAAAAAGGTATTGTATATATGGCTCAATATCTAAACTTAGAATTATTCTGATAATAGCTTCAACATCCTGACTAATCCAGCTGTTTGAAAATTGAAAGCTGGAAACTCATCATGCGTATCAGTAGATCATCATCATGCAGTGCTCTGAGCCTTGTAGTTTGGTGGTGTCGGCTCTTGATAGGTCTTTGAGGTCAGGATTGATATTTATTTTACCATCATTCTTTAGTTTCAACAAAGTCATAAAGTAACTCAAGTTCAATTTGCTTCTTGGTTTTGCTGAATTTTGACAAAGTCCCAGGTTTAGAAGTTCTTTCTGATCCTTGCTTGGAGTGTGGGAGGAGAGGTCGATATATCCATCAGTAGAATGCTGAAGACCTGTATCTCCTCAATCCTCATTAGAAGTAATTGAATTTGCAAAGAGTCCCAAGTTTCATGCTGTTTTTGTAGTTATCTTGAAGCCTGCTCAGTTCATTGGTGATCTTGAGATGAAGTTCAGAGTTTGGGATGTACTGGATAAGATGACAGTTCTCGGCGTTTTCAGGCTTCAATTGTTCTAGTCCATGGTGAGGAATTTTAATTTGCCTTTCAATCAGTTGGATTCTGTATCTCTAGTTAATGATTCCTCTCTTGCTGCCAGGTCATGAAGTCAAATTGGTGTAGTTTGGCAGAAGTTGTTTTCTAATGTAGGATTTATTGAAGATCACAGAGTATTTCTTATCAACAATTTCTGTTTGTTTTCTCTATTCAGCAAATTAGGCTTTTGATAGGACTTGAAAATTCAAATGTAAGGTTTCCAAGGGAGATTTTAATATAATTACAGTGTTGTGAATGCAACTACATCACTACATTAATTATCAAGTAAGGGAAGACTTTTGCAACGCTTGAAATTTGAAATTTTTAAATTATGTTAAAAATAATGAAATTTTCAAAGAAGATTCTAGGTCTGGGTATGCTCCATGCACAGCAACTGTCAACAGTGATTTCCATTCATTGTTCTCTTGCAATTTCTATGAAATTGATCAATCTCCAATGATTTTCAAGTGAAACCTGCATTTTTCTACCTTATTCTGCAATTAAAACTTGTATAGGAAGTATTTATGTCAGCCGTTGATATGTAAGATTCCATCAAGAAAAGAAAATCCTTGCTCAAAAGATTAATGTCAGTTCCTAAAATTATATATTATTTTAAATCTTATGAGAATTTTTTATAGAAGGGCAGACAGTCATATGCTAAGTCAGTCAGTTTAATTACAATGATTTTATGAGATGATTTGTAGTATTTAATGATTGCAGAGATTTCCTATAATGTAAATTATATCTTTTTCTGAATTGCTTCATTGTCCACTCCAATTCAAACTCATTTTATTACACAAACTGGTGAGATTTAGTCTCTAGATTATACATTACTGATCTATCAATATCACAGGAATATTAAATACATGTTATGAATACAACATGTCTAAGCTACCTAAATTTATTATGCTCACTGCCTGGACAGTTTAAAGTGATGGGCACTGCATGCTGACACTCATAATCTATGATGCTCAGTAAAAATTTAACATTTCTTTAATTTTTTCAGACTCTTCGTGAAGATGGTTATCCGACTGATGGCCCCAACTACAACCCACTCGAGTCTGGACCCTCACGAGCAGACCCCTTTGAGTATGTCATGTATGGCAAGGTCTATAGAATAGAAGGAGATGAAGGCGAAGCAACGGGCCGACTGGCAGCTTATGTATCTTATGGAGGATTGCTCATGAAACTCCAGGTGCTGATTTTATTTTGAAACTGTAGAAATAATTTATTTTTTTTACTAATGCTAGCAGATGCAATATGATATAAATTATTTTCAAATTGAAACATTTGTAATGTCAACAAATGCTATGATATTGCCTTGTTCATAATTCAACATTTTTGAAACAGTGGGTTTAGAGACTTTTAAAGTTATTGATGAAAAATTTTTTGGTAGAATTTGTGAGAATTTTTTATTCTTTGAAGGGCAACTTTTCAACCTTTAATTAATTAAAAGTGCTACCACAAGTTGATATGAGATTCACAAATTTAATTTGGAAAAATAATTGAATTATCAAACTAAGTACGGTAGTAATAGTAATAATAATACATATCTTTAAGAAAATTGTTTTTCCATCCTGGAAAATTTTTGGAAGAAAATCTTGTCACATCCTGCACATCCTTACTGGTCAACTGATGGAATGAATTAAATGAGCTTAAACCTCTCCTTGTAATAATCAAATCAATTTCTTTTTCAGGGAGACGCAAACACATTGCACGGTTTTGAAGTAGACAAACACATCTACCTGCTTATGAAGAAGATTGCTTTCTAAGTAAGGATAGGAGAATAATTGTCCAGTTAAGAATTGTTAAGGATAACGAAGAGATGAAATTGAAAGATGGTCGAGATGAAGCTCATTGCAGGGGCTAGAAAGACAGCCATTCAATACAATTGAAACATCAGTATTGTATTTGAGGTAAAAATGTTCAACTAACTTTTTTGTTCCAATTATCTGTTGTTCGTCTACGTTAGTAAGACTCGTCTTTCTTGACAATGGGAAGTGAAAATTCCTCTCATGAGCAAAGTATGGAAGCATTTTGTCAACCAGAATAGAATTATTCCCGTTCTCAAACTACTTCACAATTATTGTCTCTTTAGAATGGATCTCCAATTAAAATCAGAATATTTATTATTTGGTGGTGTTCTTTTTTTTCCTGTCTTAAATACTTCTTTTCGGAGTGTTTGTAAATTTTATTCACATTAATTGCTACTACCAACTACAATTTTTGTTGCTTTCACTTTTAGTTTTTCAAATTTGTGTTGTGTTAGGTCTTGCCAAAATTACTTTAAGATAGAAGAGTATTTTAAACTTATTTAACTCCACTTCTGGGTAATGATATTCATGGAAAAGAATGTGCACTAGATAACGATTTATTTTGAGACTTGACCTCTATCGGTCAGTTTCAATGAGGAATTTTTCATAATTAACATCTTGATGAGGCATAATAATATTGTTTTTCCTAAGAAATCACTTCACGAAAATGATCTTAGCATTGCTTTTAGAGATTAATTTCTTTGTTTCAAATTACAGTAATAATTTCTTTTGCTTCCTAAGTTGTGATCATTAACATTAACGCTTCTACATCACGTCCACAGAGCCTTTCAGACGGAATGCTTGTTGAGTATAGTACCTACATCAGCCAGGATAAGATAAAATGTCAATTGCATCCGGTTGATTAATGTTTCGAAAGAACCGTTTTTCCCGAGAGCTGAAAGGCGCGAAAAGAGACCATGCTGTGAGATGGTACAAGATTGGTTCTCAGACAAAGCCTGACAAAGGATTGTGTTACGCTTCACCACAAAATCAGTCCAGCAAAAGTTTTTGCGTCAGCTTAAGGCTCTTGGAACTTTTTGAAGCCTTGTTTGTTCTGCATAGAAGTCTTGAGGCACCGTCTAAACGTACGAAATAATCGTTAGCCTTGCATGATCATGAAAATTTTGATATAAAACTACGCATGGATGCAAATTTTTCCAGCAGGTGTGAGAGTTTTGAGATTTGAAAAGCGTGGTAAATTAGGAGTAGATCGATTGTAGGGTACATGTACGACTAACGGTAAGTACGTATTAGCGCGTAAGCGAAAGGCCGACTAATTAGTAAAACTTCTCTCCCTCTATCGATATTGTTCAATGCTTTGAGGTTGTTTGTTCTGATTCTAGATCACATAAAAAAAATGAGATCGCACTGAGAGTCTTGTTTTTTTTTCAATACAATTGTGCTGATGTTATTTTTGCTTATGGCGAAGTAAATTAAATGATACAGTAAGATAATTTTTATTTGAAAGTAGACCAACGAAAGATTTCCTCCGATGAGGGCAAGGCAAACGTTCTTAATCAGTTATTCAGCAGTGTATTCACAGATGAGGACTTAAACAGTATTCCAGATATTGAGGAGCACCCAGTCAGCTCGAAGCTAACGGGTTTTGAAATACACGAAGAAGAGGTTCTCAAGCGCCTGGTAGCTCACAGAGGTGGGCAGTAGCGCGCGCTACATATAGCGGCCGCTACATTTTCAGTAGCGGTAGCGGCTCTACATTTAAGGCAATATAGCGGTAGCGGTAGCGCCCGCTACATATTTAAGTAGCGATACGAGGTTTTGCCGCTACAGCGCTACCGCTACCTTTATAGATAAAGCCTTTAGATTTTACTTAAGGGGACCGGCTACCCTCCAACAAAACTTTTTTGTTTACAGACGGATCGTTTTGAAACTTGGTACACATATGAAAAACAGAAATCTAAGACCTTTTTGTTCATGTAAGTTTAAAAAAATGAAAGAAAACATGGAATTAATAGAAAACGGCAACTAAGGGGTACTCTAAAAAAGTTTATAACTTTTGCAAATCACATGCTACAATGTCGAGACACATATCATTCGATTTGTAACAACAAGATCTAGCGACTGTAGAGCCCCGATTTTTCATTTTCCTCATCGTTTCTTTTTTATTCGCGTTCTTCCAATTTTTTTCACATTTTTACCCCCCACCCCCCTCCTCCTCCCATATATGAGTCAAACCATGCACATATTAAAAAAAAGGCTTCAAGAGTCGCTAGGTATTGTTTTTACAAATCGAATGGTATGTCTCTCATTGCCGTAGCTTGAAAACTGTTGGAGTTATAATTTTTTTAAGATGGCGTTTTTTGGATTTTTAAATTGTTCAGGGGAGCCAAATAAAGTAAAATTTATTGAAAACAGAAGAATATGCCCAAAAAGTCTTGATATTGTAGCCCAAGCTGGCTTAGATGTCTGGCTCAACGGGAGTGAAATAAAAATCCGTGGGATTTTTCTTCGCTTTATTTCATATGGGTGACGTGGAATACTGCACAAAAGGGTTGAGATTAGGTACTGGCTTGAGGGGGGGTCTTTAGACCATGATAATGAGAAACTACACAAAGTTAAGATTAGATACTGGCTTGAGGGCGGGTCTTTAGACCATGATAATGAGAAACTACACAAAGTTAAGATTAGATCCTNAGTTATTTTTATACAGTCATTTATATGTTTCACCTTCCCTACATGGATATCTACTTTAATCTACCAATCTCAAAAATTATCCACATATATATACAAATAAAAGACAGATTTTGTATATGTATATGTGGATAATTTTTGAGATCGGCACATTAAAGTAGACATCCATGTAGGTAAGGTATAATATAAAAATAACTAAATTTTATTTACTGTATCTAACCTGTACTATTTCGGTTAGGTTAATTGTAATAAAGTTGCATTGATATGTTTTGAAAATGTTTTATTCTCATTTAATGTTAATGAGTAAATCCCAATAGCAGAACAATAAATATTAAGAGATTACTAATAATTTTGGCCATTGTAGCGGCTAATGTAGCGCGCTACATTTTACTGTAGCGGTAGCGGTAGCGCCCGTTACAATCTAGTGGATGTAGCGGTAGCGGTAGCGCCCGCTATATTTATAGCATGTAGCGGTAGCGGCAGCGGCGCTACATTTCAAAGTAGCGCTGCCCAGCTTTGCAAGTATGCTCATGGTTTATACAAGGTCCCCGAAGGATTACTAGGATTTGAAACAAGAACCAACACCAGGGGCCACAGCTATAAACTAAAAAAACTACGCTGCAACTTCTCCACGCGACAAAATTTCTTCTCGCTTCGAATCACTGACATGTGGAACAGCCTCCCCGATGACATCGTTGACGCTCCAAGTATAAACTCGTTCAAGAGCAGACTAGATAAAGCTATGGAAAAATATATGTTCAGATTTGAAATGCCTAGCACCATATCGAACCCGGTTGAAGTCGAGTAGCTATTTCAAACTTTCGTCAGTCATGAAAAAATACGGTCAAATGACACGATTTTAGATTTTCTGTGAACAAGGCACGAAAAGGAAAAGAATCGGCGACAGACCACATCAGGCCTACACTTCAGCGCCGACATCACTATGTTATGTTATGTTAAGAAAAGCGTTGTCACATGCGCCTGCTATTGACAAATGCACACGAGTAAAAAATATTCTTGCAAGCGGGGACTGTTTAAGAAAAAGTAATGAACAGTTTTCGCGCTGCTATTCGCAAAGAATGTGCTATTGTTAAAGTTTGGTACTGGTTGTGATGATTTTTATAGACATATTGTCTTCTGTCATTTTGCGCACAAGCCTGTTTAAAACCCCTGGCAATTAAGATCCAGAGTGTGGTAAGTTCCAATGCGGAAAATAATTAATTCAATTAGTTGTGCGTAATGAAAACATCTGAATCAATATGGTTATTTTTTTACGCACAAAAAATAATATTGCCTAAGAAAAACATGAACCCACATTTTCATTTTTTTTTCACACCTAAACTGTGATCAACACGGCTCTGTTTCCCATTATTGAAGAAGCAGTACGCTTGAGTCGGCCTGTAGAATAGAAACCATTATATATAACATTAGACGGGAGCGCAGCCGTGGGTAGCAAAATTGACTCGTAAACAGGCCCTGGGCCTAACGCCAACCAGCAACATGCAATATCTACACATAGCCTCAGACCAATGAGCAGAGCTGGGCAGCGCTACTTGGAAATGTAGCGGCGCTACCGCTACCGCTACATGCTTTAAATGTAGCGGGCGCTACCGCTACACCCACTAGATTGTAACGGGCGCTACCGCTACCGCTACATGCTTTAAATGTAGCGGGCGCTACCGCTACACCCACTAGATTGTAACGGGCGCTACCGCTACCGCTACATGCTTTAAATGTAGCGGGCGCTACCGCTACACCCACTAGATTGTAACGGGCGCTACCGCTACCGCTACAGTAAAATGTAGCGCGCTACATTAGCCGCTACAATGGCCAAAATTATTGGAAATCTCTAAATACTTATTGTTCTGCTATTGGGATTTACTCATTAACATTTAATGACAATAAAACATTTTTAAAACATATCAATGCATCTTTATTGCAATTAACCTAACCGAACTAGTATGGGTTACCCCAGGGTAAGATACAGTAAATAAAAGTTAGTTATTTTTATGTTTTACCTTCCCTACATGGATGTGAACTTTAATCTACCAATCTAAGAAATTATCCACATATACATATAAAAATCAGTCTTTTTTGTATATATATATGTGGATTATTTTTGAGATTGGTAGATTAAAGTAGACATCCATGTAGGGAAGGTGAAACATAAAAATAACTGTAAGCAAACTGAAAGATGAGAAAAACCTGTAAGTGGTAACTGGTAACAACTTAACGAGTAACAACTAACATGTTGACACTAGTAACAGGCTGAGGTTGACAACATTACACCGAAATCTTTCGTACAGTTTTATTCTGTAATTTATAATATGTATGTATCATGCTGGTTTTTAAATAATATTTAATACTATTAAGGGGACCGGCTACCTTAAAAATCGGAAATTTTGGCTTTACCGTTTTCTTGACTCATTTTGTAGCTGCTGAAAAGGCGCGTCTAACGCAGTTTACCGCATGTCTGTGCGTGCTATAATTTTTGCGTAAGACAATTTTAAAAATATATATATGACCATTTTTTAACAATATGTACAAAGATTTATTTGAATTAAATCTGTATATAAAGATCATTACTCTCGTTAATTACAAAGTGTTTGCACTCGTTTGAAAGCTACAAACGAGACGCGTTTAACAAAGCTACTACCATAGATGTACATGCAATACTTTTTTGTGTAATGCAGTCTTGAACTTTTATAAAATGATCATTTTATATAATTATTTGCAAATAAATGGTATTTATATGTCATTATTTAGGTTAATTGCAAAGTGTTTGCACTCGTTTGAAAGCTACAAACAAGACGCGTTTAACAAAGCTACTACCATGGATGTTCATGCAATAGTTTTTGCGTAATGCAGTTGTAAAGGTATGTAAAATGAATATTTATATATATATTTATACATAAAAAGTCCCATTTATAGCCTATTATTCACGTTAACTTGAACATAAATAGGTCTAAAGACGCGTGCTGGTACCTTTGTAGCCGCGCCTCATGCGTCTTTAATTTTTGTATCGCGATTTTCCTTATAATTTTTTGCGATCATTCAACAGTTATTACTCATATTTGTTCTGTTAAATTTGTATCCATTTTTTGATTAATGTTTTTTTGTCTATCGATTTTACTAGTATTTTCATTTAGAGAAAAAGTCTGTTCACCCTGATCATCCGAAGCGCGTCACTTTCATTCTGTCAGTCGTGAAGCACTTTGCGCTTCACTGTTGGTTAATTTTTGTGAAAAGTGGTTATATTGTGACATGTTAATTTGTGCGTGATATTTGTGAATAGTTATTTTGTGAGATCTAAATTTATGCTGTAATATCTGTGAATTGTAATTATTTTGTTAGGAATATTTAAAGTTAAGTATTATAGCCATATCTTAAGTTTATTTATTATTTTTGTTGCAGAATCCTATTAGTTCACTACCACGAACAATAGATTCAGTCGGTGCCGTCCGCTGGGTTTATTTTGGGTTTATTCCGAGTTCACTTTACGCTTATTTTGTGGCTTTTTTGGGTTCATTTCGAGTTTATTTTGTGTTCTTACCAGTGCCTGTGTTACCAATAAATCGTCAGACTACCAAAGTTCACTTCCCTGCATGGATAAAGTTTCGTTTGTCTGACTGGCGCTGAAGTAAGAGCGGCAGGTATAGCCGTCGCGCTTACACCTTGAATGCAAATAATTGGCAATGGGAAAGCTTGGGCTACAATATCAAGACTTTTTGAGCATATTCTTCTGTTTTCTATGAATTTTACTTTATTTGGCTCCCCTGAACAATTTAAAAATCCAAAAAACGCCATCTTAAAAAAATTATAACTCCAACAGTTTTCAAGCTACGGCAATGAGAAATACCATTCGATTTGTAAAAACAATACCTAGCGACTCTAGAAGCCTCTTTTTTAATATGTGCATGGTTTGACTTATATATGGGAAGGGGAGGAAGGTGGGGGGTAAAAATGTGAAAAATGGGAAGAACGCGAAAAAAACGACGAGGAAAATAAAAAATCGGGCCTCCTACAGTCGCTAGATATTGTTTTTACAAATCGAATGATAGGTGTCTCGACATTGTAGCAAGTGATTTGCAAAAGTTATAAACTTTTTTAGAGTACCCCTTCTTTGCCGTTTTCTATTAATTCCAAGTTTTCTTTCATTTTTTTAAATTTACATGAATAAAAAGGTCTTAGATTTCTGTTTTACATGTGTGTACCAAGTTTCAAAACGATCCGTCTGTAAACAAAAAAGTTTTGTTAGAGGGTAGCCGGTCCCCTTAAGTAAAATCTAAAGGCTTTATCTATAAATGTAGCGGTAGCGCTGTAGCGGCAAAACCTCGTATCGCTACTTAAATATGTAGCGGGCGCTACCGCTACAGCGCTGTTGTGGTGGGCGCTTTGTGTCAAAAGCCGTGAAGATGCCCGTCTGCGTTACTCTCGGGAAGGTATATGTAATCGCACTGTGGACTTGGGCTATGCTGATTGCTGACCTCTAGCTATCCACCCACATTAGACTACTAGACATGACTAAAATAAAGCAGAAGAAATTTGGTATTATACTTTACATCAAATTTTAGAGAAAGTCCTCTCTCTCAAATTGGCAGGTCTTTTATTTTTTTAGTTGCACTATTCAAACTGTCATGAGTCACGAACCTAGATAGGATAGGTGTACAATTAAAATAAATATATATAAGAAAAATTGGTTCGAGGATGATTAGTTTGCTACATAACGTGAAACAGCACAAAGTGGATGAATGCATTGCCTCCACAGACCTGTGAAAGAGGCATGAGTTCAGCGTTCCAATGGAAATGTGCTCTTCAGTCTACTTCCGCAGGCCGTGGCGTGAGGTTGTGGTGCGTGTAAGGATAGCATCATCGCTGGATATTGTTTACTTATTGCTCTCCACGTAATTTTCAGCAAGAGTCGGAATGTTGTCAAAGTTTGCACGTGAAATTGCCCGCAGTTGTGGCCCTGCTGTCAGAATAACCCAACGCGTCGAAAGTAAACTGTGGGTTAGAAAATACTGTATCCCTGCATCTGCCAGTAAGGCTAACGAAGAAGTGGTTTTTCGGTCTCCCTATACAGATGTTGATATTCCTAATGTGAGCCTCATCAAGTACCTACGAGACAAAACCAAGCTCCATGATGACAGAATAGCATTGGTGAGTTACTTAGCTAGGTTGCTTAGTATTAGTAACAAAACAATAATAATGATTGACGGCTTGACGCGAGCTGTTTTCTCGACTTCCGTTGACAACTTGACTGTTGTGTGAATACTTTCACTTCGACGGAATCAATCATCGACTTCGATGATTGTCTATAGATTTAAAACTAACTGAAGAGAGCGTACTAGTGCAGGATAAATAAAAGTGTTAAAACACATTCTTGATTACTATTGATTTTTAATTTCAGCGTATTTCAATCCTTACAAATGTTACGATGTACGTAGGTAACGTAGCTACTATTACTTTGGCTTTGGGAGGAAGAATACGTTCGCATTATGATTACCTATTCTAAATTAATTTTTGAAACTTGTTTTTATTTAAATATTTAAAGTAGTCTACGACTCTACGTATTTAGTCATTGATTTCACAATCTTACATATTATAAAATGGATAATTCTACCTAGCCTTGCTGCTATCTTGTAAACATTTCTCAACGGACAGGAATATCCTCCTTTCAAATCCTCCCACATGCTAGGGGAGTATACTCTTTGCATTTACTACGTTGCCATAAGGGGAAACGACTACGATTTACCTTATACATTTGGAAAGACGGATCGTTTTTCATTGCCAAACTCGGTTGACAGATTTTTTTGCATACATTTAAGGTTATTTCTATTGATTATTGCTGTGAAATAAAGAAATCGTCGTTCCTAAAAGATGAACTCTTTTCAAATATTTTTAAATGATTCCCTTTAGTTATTTCAATACAGTCATGATGATGGAAAATGATTCCTAGCCAAGCAATTTATATAAAGACTCAAATGTAGTATTAAGTTTTTAGTAATAGTTAGGCGTAAATATCACGAAATATGCGCTCCTGATAAAACTTTATAGACTTCAAGTCACGAACGTTAAAGCGAATTACGGTGAACTCGATACCTTTGGCTGGCAAGTCGCACCGCCGCACTAGTCTGGTTTCGGAAATAACTTCGCATGTGAAATCTCTCATGGGCTATCAATATAAGCGTTCAATTCATTGAAATTGATTGCTATTGAAATAAAGAAATATGATTGTTCTAGAAAGAAAAATAAAAATGGGTGACATTTTTACAACAATTTTTTATTAATATTCCTTCAGAACCAGTTTAGCAAAATGGAATTTATACTGAATATTTCTAATAATACTGAAAATACTGGTGCCTAATTTTTTACATGAAATAATTATTTCATGAGCTATCTTCTGAACAAATCTCCGCCAAACAGCATTTTGTTTGTCGCTTGAACCTTCATGAGATGCATAATAATACCGTGATGAAAATGGTTCAAATGTCAATACTTACAAACTTCGTTACAAGTATAATATGATTCATGGGAATAAATGCATCTTTGAATATGACTCTCTGTTCCATGAAGAGGATAGATGATAGACTACTATTTGCAATTGCATTGTTTTATCTATAATTTAATATACCTAAATTCTGACATGATTTGAGTGGACTGCGGCTCTATCATGTGGGATTTTCTTCAACCGAGCTAAATTCGGCTCTCTCAGGGCTCATGAAACACGAAAATATTCGAAAACCCGCTTTTGTCAATAAGAACGTTTCTCTCTGATAGATATTTTGCTCGTTTCAGGTCTCAATTATCGCCGACTGATACTGCTCGTTTCAAGTCTCGAATATGGGTCTATAATTTCTATAAAATAGCCTCTTTGTCTGCACATTTCCGTTGTCGAGATTCATTCCTAATATAGTATGTTCCTTTTGACCTCTGAGAGCTTGGTAAGACAACTGCCAACCTTTAAACAGTTCGTGCTTTATCGATTCTATGCCTGCGTAGCTTTGCCAGCCGTACGACCCGCTCACACGTGGTCTGAATCGGGCCAATATAAGTTTGACTCTATTTTCTGATTCTATGGTAAAGATTTTCACGTTCCGCGTTTTATGAGAACTCGAGCTAGAACTAAAATATTTAAATGCAAAAGCATTTGAACGTTTAGTAATTTATTTTGCATTTAATTTGAAAAAAATCTGACTTGTGCAGACTGAAAATACAACGGTCGAGAGTAATTTGTTTCGATTTTACCGATTTCGAGTGATTATTTTACGTACATAATGGTTGTAGGTTCGATCGAAAAATTGAAAAATAATCTTGTTTGTTTATATTAGATTTCTCGATTCATATCACCATCTCGTATGCAGCCTACCTGCGTTTTCGGCTTTTAGTGATATGGAAGTGAGATAACCAGAAATTGTATTTGTTAATCAATATACGTATTTACTCACAGATGTGATTTCATTCTCCTATCTCATAAAATGCTTGGATCCGAATGCTTGGAGACATTAATTAGAAGTTAGAGAAGCTACCTAATGGGTTGCCTGCATTAGCGAATAATATGGAATTGAATTTATTCCTCGTAATTTTTTTTTACACATATACAGCGTTTCTCTCAAGTTGAATCTATTTTTTAATGACGTGCTTCGATATTGGCTAGGTTCTTGTTGACCATTAATGACAAGAAGTATTAAGATTACATTAAAACATCAGGAACAAGCACCTAACTTCCGCTCGTGATCTATGATACACTTTTATTTTTATCACGAGTAGGTACGTATATAACCTACAAACAGTTATTGGTTTATTAGCCTGGCTTTTCTGCGCGCTTGATGATAAGGAACTATGCAGCTGAGTTACAAATGCAGAGGAGTTGAAACGGATTTCGCTGAGCTATGCCTTGTATCATGGAATACTGTGACGTGATAGCCTCTGTGCAGTTTCTTAGTTCAACGATCGGCTGGGACAATACTTTCTATTATTAAATTTCATCATACAACTTTAGCTCATAGGTAATTAGAAGACATCTGTGATCAATTCAATATACGATTATGATTGCGTCCTTAAATTTGTGTCGATGCAAGGGAACTAAATTATTATTCAAAGAACTGTTTAGAAAATTTTTCACCTAACATTGTGAATATCTCTGTACCATACATGGGAAATAATAAGTATTTATTGGGTTTCATTTTTTCGTTTAGTTTGGAGTGGCACCACTTGATGCCACTAATTTTCCACTCATTTAAAAATTTCGTTCTATTATTGTAGGTATTATTTTGTTCTCTGAGCGTGTGAATTGGATGCATTTATAATTCCTCTCACTCCCCATTTTAATTGACAGACCTCTTACTGGGAACCTGTGTGCTTAGATTATTTCAAGATAAGAATTGGTGCGTGTCATCTCTACCTCCATGTGACGGGATACAACTTTAGGCCTATGGCATTGGGTTTCCCTTCAAGAGAAGGTCTACCGGCTCCACGTTTTGTTTTTCTGTGTCCAAACTGAATAATCCGCAGTGAAGCAAAAAATACACTAGTGGTTATGTTTGTTGATTTTTGTTTACGGAGTCTGGTTGAGAACTGTAAATATGAGTTCTGTCATCCTTGCCTTTTCAGCCAATAATATATTTTGATCAACGTTTGCTAACTCGTGCGTGCGTCTCAGGAATTTATTGGCAGGGACTTGCCGTTGCTTGTATCCCCGCGAGAAAGTTCGAAATTTTTATTCTATGTCCGAAAGATCGAAGATAAAATTCAAAAATAAGAGAAGACAAAATAAGAACATTAACTCGGATGAGATTCCAATTCTCCTCATAAGATTTTCTCTGAAATATTTTTTTATGAAGATGATACGTTATATTCCGTTAGACCACTCACTGAAGTTTCAAAGAGCTATGTTGGAACTTTCTTTTTAAATTATCACTTGTTCACACTTTATATCAAGAGATTTCTTTCGTTGTGTGTTTGTTAGCTGAAATTTAACCCATTGCTACGTTCAAAGTAGTATGTATTTCGGCCAAAGACCATTCTATATATCATTCTATATATTCTATCTATATAATTAACAATATTCCAATAACATACAATAGAAGATATTGTGTTATCTGTCGTCATTATACAAGTATTTGGGCTTTTTTCCGAGTTTGCGGTTGCCCAACCAACGAATCCAACTTGAAGCTTTCGTGTATCTACCGTGGCGCGCAGGCGCTGCATTCTCTTATTCGGCCCACAGAGTTCTGTAAGTCCAATGTCACATGTACAATTTCGTACATGCTCATTTATGTGTGACATGTACTAGTTAGTACTCTTACTAGATTAGTCTGATGAAAACTCTTTTTTTTAGAAGCAGGATTACGTAATTGCGATGGGCATAATCAAATATAAATTACTATACTTCATAATTCAATTATCATTGTCTACTTTATTACTCGATCAGCATTGCCCGGAAGTATTAAAATCATTTGTGCATCAATTTTAGTCCTTACAATTTGAAGGTTATATTTTTTATTTATTTCTTTAGCACACTTAAGTGACGGTAAAAAATAGTGTTCTGTCGTCTTGGTACTGGATAAGTAATTAAAGAACCGTCTCTTCTTGCGATTCATTTTATCTCTCTCAATTTCAAACGTTTTAATTCGTGATACAATAACGCCTGGAACATGCTTTTCATTCCAGCTTCTATTGCTGCGTCATTCATGTCAAACGTTAATAAAGCTTCCATTTAATCACTCGTATTTAGGCTGCGAATTATATGCGTGCATTTAGTATAGTGCAAGACTTATTGCTCAATTGTCTAGCTTCTTACTTATATAACCGTGGCGCGCTAAGTCCAAAGTCCATCTCAAAGGTTGCGAGCGCCGGAGGAGAGATCAGCTGCTATGGCGGTGCGGTCGGGAGGTGTGGCGCTGACTGGCCAATCACAGGCCAGCCAGATCTGCCCCTACACTCTCTTCGCCACGCTCTCTTTCTCTCTCTATCGCTTGGTCTTTATTCCTTTATTGCTTTTCTGCAGCCGAAGTGTCAACCGCTGGAAGAATTTAACTGTGAAAGACTATTGTGTTTCCAAGAAAGTGGAATAATTTGATATCATTATTAACGAAACTTATATCAAGGTTCTAAATTGATTCTACTAACATTGTAACCGTAACTCGAGTTGGCATTGAATTGGTCGAAACTAGCGAGTACAGTGGAGCTGGCAACTCATGTAGGGAGGTCGGTATCGGGGACGAGACGTGCTTTTTCCTCAAACGCAGCGGGTGTTGCATGTCTCGCAAATACCATCTCAGTGCTCAACGCCAACGAGTTCTTGTTACATTGAACAGGATTTATACTTTCAAGTGTTCAATTTACATCAAGCTTCCGACTTATCTTCGGGTGCGAACCTTACATGGTTTGCTAGGCGGTAGTGATTGCACTTTATTTTGCCGATTTATTCAAAGTTGCATTTGTGGGTTTGATATAATTTGAAGAACGGCCTCATAAATCTTCTCTTATCAGCTTTTGTGTGTACATACATGTATTGATCAAATTATTTAGAACGGTTGCAGTAATTCGTCTTGTAAATACGCAACATTTTTAATACGCACGTCGATTTAGTCACGTGTTCACTCATGGTGCGAGTGATAGGAAGCAAGAAAGTCGTAATAAGTGAGACTCGCTTGTAATGCTTGTGCCGTGCACGGCATTAGCACTTGTCGGGTATTAGATGGCGAGAACCAGTGCACTTTCTATGGGATGCGCGTTGGCGAGAACGTGTCTGTGCTAGCGAGTATCGACCTAACCATAGGTACTACGCAGCTGCTGTGTTGTTTAGGCCGGCGACTCTGCCTGTTCTAGTGTTATGTCTCTACCAAAACGTGAAAATATTCCAACTCACGCCCTAGTGTATGAATTGCTGCAATTTTTATCAGCCTGATGTCAGTTGTCTCGAGTAATACTATGCATTATGGTTACCCGTTCGAACATCTTTCGACGTTGCCACGTATGCAACTGCCTGCTACGAAACTTTCATTCTAAAAATGCTTGGTGTCATTCATCTATTCATTTCACATTCAATGGTTCATACCATTTTATGCCAATTGTTTCAGACATTCTTAATTGAACCTCAAATCCTACAATAGCTTTATGTAAAATTATTCGTGTAATTAAAGGATTAATTTATCAGTAATGCACCGTAGATTACAATAAATGACAGAAATTCAAAACAAGAAAAGCAGGATTCCAGTTGCCTTCGTCAAGCCGGCCAGCAGGAGGTCGAACTTTGGACCGAGCTTGCGTGTCTAGCGACTGGCAATATTCCTGTAAAGATTAAATCTTCCTTCTGGCTACTTCTTGCGCTTTTTCTTCATTTGTGCCTAGTTTTTGCTTGCAACTGACCATGGATTTGACGTTATTTGCGTGTGAGCCGTTGGTCAAGAAATAGCCTTCGCTTCCATGATGAGGCTATGAATTCGAGATCATAAGTTTCGTAAATTTATCCTATTTTGTAGATAATTCACTCATTATTTCCTCAGCTTGTATATAATTCATGTTGAAAATAATGATCTTGAACAGGTGTGTGGGGAAAACGGAGAAGAACTTCGCTATGGCGAGATGTGGCGTCGCGTGGATAATGTGGCCAGCGCATTGGCACGGCTCGGCGTGCAGCGCAACACAACTGTGGCACTTGTGGCCCCCAACTGTCCTGAGCTCGTTGTGTCATTTTTCGCCACAATTTCTACGGGTGCTGTGGCTACAACAGTCAATTGTCTTGCCACGCCAGGTGAGTGCTACCCTAACATCGTCTTCGGAAGGTGTATGGCTTTAATCTCTATACCGCCTGACATGAGTAACCGGAGCAATATTGTCACAAGTCTACTTCCCAAAAAAAGGATACGTTCTTTAGTGAGCGCAAAATGACTTGCACTGATGGTTGCCGCCACGTACGACAACTTAAAAATGTTCTCTGTTGCGTACAAACGTCCTCAGGTTGCCACACTCAATGTTTTACGTATAGTTTAAGTTGAAATTTATGTTCCCGGAGAGTGAAATACGGCGGTAGAGAGTTAAAGCGACCTCGTATATGATCGTTAACGTTGTTCAAGTTGGAGGACCGTCCAGAACACCTTCCTTGTTGATAACACTTTTATTATTATTTGAAAATTACAATAAATGTGCTGGGATTTACAACTTTGTTCGAACAATTAATTTATTTTGTACGCAAGTCTATTGTTCAAATAAACCATTTTCAAGATTGATCGACGCAACCTGGTAAGTTGTGTCTCTCACGTTTCAGCCGAGATGGCGCGGCAGCTCGAGAACTCGGACACGGCGGTGGTGGTGTTCCATCCTGCTATGGCAGGCGTCGTGCAGCAGGCGGTAGGGCGACTCCAGCAGCAGAAACAAGGCTCTGTTAGGGCACTCATCTGCACACACGCACTACCTGAGAAACAGCCTGGTCTGCTCTACCTGCCTGACCTTTATGGGGACGATGGTTCTGCTTTACCTTCTACTGCGTCGGTGAGTTCCTTTGTTGACATTTTCGTGACAACATTCGTTGTTTACACTTCATTCGTTGTTTACACTACATTCGTTGTTTACACTACATTCGTTGTTTACACTTCATTCGTTGGTAACACTTCATTCGTTGTTTACACTACATGCGTTGACGTTGTTTACACTACATTCGTTGTTTACACTACATACGTTGTTTACACTACCTATATACGTTGTTTACACTACATTCGTTGTTTACACTTCATTCGTTGTTTACACTACATTCGCTGTTTACACTACATTCGTTCTAAGTTATTCGTACATTATTTATAATCTTTGATTACAGTTTTGTGTTTTTTTTTATTTTTAACTACATTGGAAAATACTTCGGTGCCAGTTCCCTATACTCCGTTGGTTAAAAACAATTCATAGATAATAACATCGTTGTAATTATTATTCATAAATAGTAGTAATTACCGCCTCATATTATGAGGCTATATATTATAATATAGTAGTAATTATAGCCTCACTACTACCAAGGATTACGTATTTTTGTGCGTCCTGCAATTTTTTACTTGTTAATTCTCTGAGGCAAGGTGTAGTTACTGTACCAGCACCATGTTATTTATTTTCACTTGCTCATTAGTTGTAAAGATTCGTTATGATCTCATCTACAGTCATAATTATCTGTTCGGTTCTGGTTACTTAAAATTTCTACAGCCGTGACGATGACACGTAGTGAGTCGTGTTTCTAGTTAATTAGTTGGGTAAGGAGTTTTTAGCGCATTTTCTCATTTATGGAAAAGGCGCTATTGTGCTCGTCATTTCCGTCCGTCCGTGATCACGTTTTCGTCGACGAGAAAATACGCTCTCTGTCTCTCACTGCAGTGAGCACTGAGTTATATTTTTGCGCTATTCCCCCGAGTTTTATGTATATTCGCAATGACCAGATCATCCCCAGCGAAGACTTGGTGGTGCTGCCATACTCGTCAGGCACCACCGGCCTGCCCAAGGGCGTCATGCTCACGCACTCGAACATCATCGCCAACCTGCAGCAGCTAACGCATCACGAGGTTATGGATGTTAATCCTGACGGTCAGTAAGAAGTTGATGTATAATATGAGCTATATAGTTTTATACGTTTTAGGAAATAAGGGACTGAATGTTTCGGTACAATACTCTTTGAATGAAATACTAATCTTTAAATGAAATATCCGATTGAAGAATTTGTATACGTTTTTAACAACAATGCACAAGTTTTTTTAATAAATTACTGTAGGTGAAATTTGAAAGCAGGCACGGCAGAGAGAAAACTGTCGTATCACGGGCGCTGTGCCGACTCACTTTACCTGTCATATTGTTGGATAAGAATATTAAAGTCTCGACTAATTATCTGATGATATTGGTGCCAAGTAAATTGTAAAATTATTAAAATTATTTCCTGGTGTCTGACTTCAGGTGACGTCATTTCGGACGGTGTTGGTGTTAAATTTCATTGTATCGTATTAGGCAAATAATTTGCTAGCTCACACGGTTAATATTGATGATGTGCAGGTGATGTGTTATTTGGAGTGCTGCCGATGTTCCATATATACGGCATGGTTGCTTGTCTCTTCATGTCCGTCTCTATGAGCTGCAAGGTTGTCACCTTCACCAAGTTCGATCCTCAGCTCTACGTCCAGTCGCTCGTGAAATATCAGGTAAGTGTCTTCTTTTGTTCCATCACTTCACGAGACTTTTATTCCATCACATCACGAGACTTTTATTCCATCACATCTCGAGACTTTTATTCCATCAGATCACGAGACTTTATTCCATCAGATCACGAGACTTTATTCCATCAGATCACGAGACTTTTATTCCATCAGATCACAAGACTTTTATTCCATCAGATCACGAGACTTTTTCCAACCAATGAAAGTAAAAATGTGTTGGCATTTTGAGTTTATTCCTGTCTACTTTAAAGCTAATGATTCTGCTGAATTTTAGGATAGTGTAGTGTGTATATCTTTCAGCACATATAAGTTCCAGGATTCATAAAACGAATTCCAAGATATTTACATTTAACCATTTAAGGTGCTGCTGTGCTTATGATATAAGAAACTCATTCAATTTCTATTAAAAAAATTGTTGAATAATTTTCGAATAAAATTTAACGAGCACTGAGGTCGCACATTACGTCCTGGTGTAAGCGCACGGTAAATGAATGAGCGATAATTACTAACCTATTTCCTATACATTTCTGGTATAAAGGGAGGGACTTAGGTTTACATGTTTGCATTAATATCATATTGTTGTGTTCAGCTGATGATAATTTCTGGTATAAAGAAAGGGACTTAGGCTAATATGTTTTATTAATATTATCTTGTGTTCAGCCGACGATAGTTTCTGGTATAAAGGAAGGGACTTAATATGTTTGCATTAATAGCATCCCGTTGTGTTCAGCCGACGATCCTGCACACGGTGCCGCCCATCCTGGGGTTCCTGGCGCAGACGCCGGAGGTGCGGCCGGAGTTCCTGCAGACGGTGCGCCTGCTGGTGTGTGGGGCGGCGCCCGTGGGGGAGGCTCTTGCTCGCTGCATCACTCACAAGTTCGGCAGCCTGTTCAAGTTCCAGGAGGGTGAGCACAACTCGTTTGTTTTATGTATGGCTGTACCCAAGATTTTGTTTGGTACGGCTGTACTCAGTGTTCAATGGTGTTCAATAGTGGCTATTGAACACCATTGAAGACTTTCAAATAGAATTCAATAAGATTTGTTTGGCACGGCTGTACTCAAGATTTGTTTGGTACGGCTGTACTCAGTGTTCAATAGTGTTCAATAGTGGCTATTGATCACTAACGAACACTAAAAAAATGGAATTCAATAAGATTTGTTTGGTACGGCTGTACTAAAGATTTATTTGGTACGGCTGTACTCAAGATTTGTTAGGTACGGTTATACTTAACAACAAGTTGAGTATAACGGTAATACTTAAGCTATTTTAAAGTGTATGTAAGCCTCAACTCGATGAGTTAGCGTTTCTGAACGATGGGTTTTATTCATGAAGACAAGAGCGATGGTAAAGCGTTCGATTGACACTGAAAGCTGTTAATTTGCTGTGGCTGTTGCCATGGTAAGCCTTATTCCGAGTAACTTTTGAAGGTGTGATCATTAAAATGATTATTTGAACTCAGATAAATGTTGTATAAATGTAAATAACGGGACCCTGGCTCTATCTCTACTTTAATTTTTAATAATTTTGATTGATTATATCAAGATTATTAAAGGCTTTCATCCCAAATATATAAAAATTTTCTAAATTTAAGTTATCGGTAATAATAAGCTTGATAGCTTAGCAATTACTTGCTATTAATTTTCGAAGTATGTTGCCATATTTCATTTTATTTATACGGTTGTATTGTAGTGGGCATAGATTTAGAGGAAAAACAGGTTTGGAACGATTTCCTAGAATTTTTATTCCAGAAAAAACTACCTACAGCTATTTTTTGTCCGATAACATGAATGTTTCGAGAACAGTTTTTTAGATAAATTTCATATATTTTTCCAATCTTATCATTTTTTCCTAGGATAAATGTTGCTGATTTCTTTCAATAAGAGTAATTTAACAACATTTTACAGGCTACGGCATGACGGAAATGTCGCCCGTGTCTCACGTATCCGCCAAGGCGGGCTACGTGCCCGGGTCCTGTGGCGTACCCGTGCCCAACACGGCCGCTAAGATCGTACACGTGAAGACCGGCGTAGCGCTCGCTGCTGGCGAGGGAGAGGGGGAGCTGCTGATCAAGGGGCCTCAGGTGTGTAGGGGGAGCTGCTGATCAAGGGGCCTCAGGTGTGTAGGGGGAGCTGCTGATCGAGGGGCCTCAGGTGTGTAGGGGGAGCTGCTGATCAAGGGGCCTCAGGTGTGTAGGGGGTCCAACTATCAAAATTCTTAGTTATCTCATAACTGAAATTACGGAATTGATGATTGAAACTTATTACGGTGTAGCGATCAAAAGAAATGCTTAGGAAATAGGAATGAATTTAATTGTTATAAATTTCATATCTTCAGCAAAATTAGGGAATTTATCAATAGAAAAGCACTCTCAACTTTAATTTCAATGTATTTTCATGATTAGTTTATATTATCCCTGTGCCATTTTCAGGTCATGAAAGGATATCTTAAGAATGAAGTGGCAACAGCAGAGACGATTGACAGCGACGGCTGGCTACACACTGGCGACGTGGCCAAAGTTGACTCAGATGGCAACTTCTACATCGTCGATCGCCTCAAGGAGCTCATCAAAGTCAAGGGATTCCAGGTAAGTGTGCCTTGTTTGTACTCGATTCTGATAGACTGTGTCAGTATAAAACCAGCGTTTGTATTGTTATTTTTTTTTAAAGATAAAGGTTATTCTTCTCGGGCTGTTTGAGGGCAACCCAATGCGGGTTGCCATTTAATTGATACATACATTGCCATACTCACATTTGATACATAGAATTAGCGTTAAACTGCCATTAGTTATTTTCGTTTTTAGGCTGGATACGATTTTAAGGTTTTATTTTTCCTATCCTCTCATTTTATCTATAACATACCCGTGTTTGCATGCTTGCATAATGCTAAACTTTCATTGTTGTAGTATCATTTTCGCATGTTCTGTACCAGCCTAGCGTTGTGTGGTGTACCTGTTTTCACTTCTGTTCACGATCAACGGATGTTATTTTTTTCTTGAAGTCGCACTTCAATAAACATAGCAATAATTTATAATTTATATCCTTACTTCGTAATATGCTATTGTGACAAGGCTATTTTTAGCGCATTTTCCTATTTTATGAAAAAAATGCACTATTTTGCTCGCCATGTCCGTCTGTCTGTCCGTCCGTGACTTCACATATCGTCGACGAAAAAATGCGCTTTCTGTCACCCACTGCAGTGAGTACTGAGTTATATTTTTTATGTATATTTCCGTAGTAATGTATTTTTACTGCGTTAGAACCTTCTTGAGAAGACAAAAGCTTTAAAGTAACTGCTGTGAAGCCTTATTGAAGCGACAAATATTGAAGGCCACAAACAACAAGCGGTAATTCTTGCCGTCTAACAGGTCGCGCCCGCCGAGCTGGAGGACTTACTGCGCGGCTTCGTTGGTGTCGCCGACGTCGCCGTGGTTGGCGTGCCCGACGACAAGCTGGGCGAGCGCCCCAGAGCCTACGTCGTCAAGCATCCTAACAGTGCGTGCTGTGCATGTTGGGGAACTGAAGTATTCTTCATGCTGTGTATATCAGAGATTAAGACGAATAGTTTAGGGAATGAAGATACGTCGTCAAGCATCCTAACAGTGCGTGCATTGCATGTTAGGGAATTGAAATGTTCCTCATGCTATGTTTTGAGACTCTGAATAATTGAATTTGACTCAATTATTTGACTGACACTGAATAATTGAATTTGAGACTCTGAATAATTGAAACCTTCCGTGGCGATGTTAACTGTTGAGCTCCGGGCGAAATAGCTTGATAGCTGAAGCGCTAGTAAACCATTCTACTACTTACTCATGCTATTGGAGATTAAGATGAATAGTTAAGGGAATGAAGAACTTTGTTCATCCAGTTGACCTTCATCTTCTCATTTATTTGGGGTGATTCAAGTTTGTGTTATCCGACGAAAAATGAGTTTAATACTGTTACTATAGTTTGCAACCTGTGAAATGTAACAGATTGATATCGAAATGGTACGATTGAGTTTGCCAGTTATCTCCAGTATTAAAACTATTTTATACTTAATTTTATTTCAATTTGTATTGGTGTTGAATTCTACTTTCAAACTGATGTTCTGTTGTCATTTTTCTCCCGCATTGACTCAGTGTCTTGCAGTACAGGATAAATTTCATCCACCCACCCATAGACTAGCCGATGGAGTTCCTTGCATTCCATGACTGATGCTTCATAAATCCACCCACAGACTCATAGAAGGGTTTTTTTGAACTCCATGACTGATGCTTCATAAATCCACCCACAGACTCATAGAAGGGGTTTTTTAAACTCCATGACTGATGCTTCATAAATCCATCCACAGACTCATAGAAGGGGTTTTTTAAACTCCATGACTGATGCTTCATAAATCCATCCACAGGCTCATAGAAGGGTTTTTTTGAACTCCATGACTGTTGCTTCATAAATCCACCCAAAGACTCGTAGAATTTTGAAATCTATGACTGATGCTTCATAAATCCATCCACAGACTCATAGAAGGGGTTTTTTGAACTCCATGACTGATGCATCATAAATCCACCCACCGCCTCATAGAAGGGGTTTTTTGAAATCCATGACTGATACATCATAAATCCACCCACAGACTCGGTGACGGAAGCAGCTCTAGAACAGTTCGTGGCCTCGAAAGTGTCGGTGCACAAAAGGTTGACGGGCGGCGTGGTCTTCGTTGACGCCATTCCCAAGAACTCAACCGGCAAAATAATGCGTAAAGAGCTGCGGGAAATGGCAGCTAAAGAGGCGTCTGCTGCGGCGTAAAGAGCTGCTTGAAATGGCAGCTAAAGAGGCGTCTGCGGCTTAAAGAGCTGCGGGAAATGGCAGCTAAAGAGGCAGCTGCGGCGTAAAGAGCTGCGGGAAATGGCAGCTAAAAATTCGGCTCACTAACTGCCATGTTGCCCGTCGTATAAAATCTGTTGACTGATGTTTGAGGGCGAATTAGCTTTGGGTCAGATGATATGAAGGTATGGGGATATGAATAAGGAAAACGATCTTTAATATTAAATGCAGGGAGCTGTGATGTTAGGAAGAAATTTAAATACATGGAATAATTGGAACGGTAAGATTATAAAGTTGCTGCCGAAGCTTGTAAATCTTGTGTTTTGCAATAATAAATGATGATGGTTGTCCTTGGCCAGCAAAAATGAATAATTATTTAGCGAGGTTTCATTGTTATTATTAGGTCTTTGAGTGCTCAGAAGTTCCAGTGATATGGGCCGTTTAATAGAGATTACAGTGGTAACAAATGACTTCTATTTCCTTTGTAAATATTTTTTTCTAGGTTTTTGCCATTTTCTTATCCGAATTAGAGGTCTGGGGTTGGTTGATGGCCGCTCAATCGATGACTTGAAACACGCGATGGCTTATGCTTGCAGTGAATGTTTCAAATTTTTTTCTTTCTAGTGTAATGAATTGACATGTCCGTTTTATACCTGCGTGGTGAATGTAATGCGGCTTTTCTCTAAACGAAATATTGTTGAGATTACGTTTATGAAGCCTTAATTTCATTGTTTATGTAACGCTAAAGCCTCATGAATGTTTTTTTGAATATCAGTCATTTCCATGCGGTTCGTTGTCAGTGCTGTGATTGTGCGTTTCTCGAGTTGAGTTTCCATTGATGTTTATGACAACGAACATGTCATTTAAAATTATATTTAGACTCGCATGTCATTCATACTTAATTTTATTATATTTCGGGTGTACAATAGATTTACAATACAACTTGCTCTTCAATGGACTTCTGATTATTGTTAATTAAATTTGAGGATAATTTCACTTACGGTTCCTTTAGAACTCAATGTAATTGTTCAATTTCTTTTTTAATATTTTTAAATACCGCCGGCTTTGTGGAGCCGGCCAAGAATTCTTAACTTCAGTTCTTCTGTGTAATTCCAATCAAATGAGTTTTTAATGCTAAAGTATTTGTTATTATTTGATCGCTAACATTCGCTTGTTATTGTTTGTAACGCCGCACGCGTGTTGATACTTGGCATGCTATACCTTTGTTGTTCTGGGGCCTTCATTTCTAATTTGGCATCTGCTGCTATTCTTTAGCAATTTCATCAGTTTCGATTCCTTTACCGAAGTCTAATTCTATAGTTGAATTTACTGAATGTATTTCAGGCATTAATGATTGTTACGAATCAGAAAATTATTTATTATACTATTCTGATTTTGGGTCAATTTGTTTCTGACGGAGCATCAGATGTTCTCTTCACTGAGAACATCGCCTTTTGTGTCTGGTGGTCGCAACCTGCAAACTAATTCTACCGTTTCGTCATGTTACCCCTTATTAACTCTAACAATATTCACAAATTTTGTATTATTCAGTAATACTTGCTTGTGATGACCCGCATTTATGAGTTATTCGTAAGCTTGCCAGGCTTCTGGATTTTGTTGCTTTCAGTATTTTATGAGCCAAAGTTATTGTTCTTTTATCCCTTTGTCTTAGCGTTGAAGCGGGATACTTTAACGAGGCCATGATCTCTGATGTCTCGGCTGTGTGCTCTAAATTTTAGAACGGTTTTTATTTGTTTTGGAGTAGATACTTTCTTCGTCTTCTTCGCTTGAGTTAGCTTCTAATCGCGACAACTACTTTTATTCTTGAAGTATTTCCATTGTAAAACCTATTAAGTATTTCTTTCCAGTATTCGTTATATCCGTAATGGATTTGGTCTCGTAATTACCTTCTCTAACATTTATAATTTTTGATGGTTGCGTTCAACAATATTTAATATTTTTTATTATTGTCCCACAAATCACATTCTCTTCTCCTGGCTGATTTGAGTGGAATTTAGAGTACTCGAAATGTAATAGATTTAAGCCACGATCGATGCATCGGTCACTAACACAACATGACGCTCATTATTTCCGAAATCTCGGAATTTTAATAATTTTAAAGTTCATTTCAATGCAATGTTTTTGTGTGGTTTTTGCAATTGCAAAGTGCGTTTGTGAAGCTTTTTGAGTGTGAAACAGAAACTTAGTAGGCAATATTTGAGTGTCCAGTTATTGAGATGAGAAATCTTCCCGATATTCTTTCAATGACTCGTTTGGTTTGATATGTTATGTTAAAGAGCGATAATGTTTTATTGGTAATTCAAGTAAAGGAAGATTTTAGTAACTGATGGACAAATTCCATTGTTAAGAAGCAAACTTGAGTGTTACTCGTACCTCCAGTATGAGGAAAAACAAGTTCCATTTCATACGCAAATGTTGCGTAAAGACAGAAGTATATTTTTCATATTAAATAATACCTTCGATGTTCTCGGTTTTTTTCTAATTCACTCGCCAAAATTACGATTCCTGGTTCACGCATGTATTTAATTAGATCAGGGATTATTTTTAAAACGTACATTTTTGTATATTGTATTGGATTTTGCTGTTGATGGATGAAATCATAAAGTTTCTCTCTCAGGTAATCGTGTATGTGCCAGGTGTATCGCTTACTTTACATAATTTTTTCGAAGCTAATCCCGTTTTTGCAACGTCGTGCCGTTCCACAGAACGTATACGTACGTTAAGTGCCACGGAAGATCATAACATATTATTAAATGTTTTAATAATTATGAAAACGATTGTGTGATTCTCTTACTAATGGCCGCTGCAACGCACACGTCAGAGCTGTCGGAAGTTTTTTTAATAATAGACAAACGCGCTAATGTCATCAAAGCAACGCATTTTCGTCGCGTAAAACGTTTGTTTGTGTGAAATTGAATCACAAATGCGCTTGTCGAAGCTAAAAAAATTCTGAATAAATTACAAACAATGAACTGTTGAAACATTCTCCATGTAAAATACTTCTGAAGCAAAGTTTGTTGGCAGTAACCAGTAGGTTTGTATAGTGTATTATAAAACGTTGTTAGCGTAATGAAGAAGATTGGTTTGGGCTAATGTCCCGTTTTTATAAACGCATTCTTTTCCCTATTGTCTCACTGTGGTTTCTTGTATTTTTGCAGTGTAAATACGTGAAATCTGTTTCTCAGAATTCCCTCCATTGAATATTAGCGTCATGAACGACGTAAAATAGATTCAACTAATTTGTTACCGAGGCTGACGACTGATGGTATCGATACTTCTTGTAACACTCACTAGGAGACTGTGTGGATGGTCTAAGTCAATCGTCTATCTAAAATCTAGGGCCAATTCAGAACCTATCTTCTTCATTTAAGAAGTTATGATTCTCTACTAGATAACTTTTAGAGATAAACAGAATAATCCGGACTTACTGATGCTTAGGGGAGCAAGCTTGATTATTATTCTCAATGTAGCTTCATTAATCCAAGTGATTGATATTCTGGAGAATTAAGTTTCGTTATAGTAAATATAATGGGGAATTTATATGCCAGCTCGTTAGTGTTCTTGAGATTGTACAGAACGCGTAAAGATAGTAAACGCCATATCTCGTGAATGTTGTAGCGCTATTCTACCGTAGTCTAGAGTAGTATCACTTCGTTGATCCATCCTATTCTCTTAATAATAGTCGTTAGTGATCGAACAATCGAGTAAAAACAATGGAATTGGACACACTACACACTTTGAAATAACAATATCTTGATGGTAATAATGAATGCTAATAGGAAAGTCATTTTATGTAAGAACTTCTTTGCTGGTCGTTGTGTCGAATGGGTTGGAATTGGGAGCCATGATTGTTGCTTTGATATTGGTTAGAATTAAACACGATTGTCTAGATGATCTAATTCACACTGAACAAAATTGTTTCTTCAACGATCCAACACTCACTGTTTGTCAGGCCTCCAGAGATAGTTAGATCCTGGATATAGTTTAAGTACCATTAACAATATTCCATTTGTCTCGATCCAGTCAATCGAAAGATTGCCGACGTGTCGCCATTCTAATGCCCTACAATGCAAGTATTAATTAATGCTCTAGAATGCAAGTAAATCATAGCTCATTTTCTAGACTAGTATTACGCGGAGCATTTGAGGCTCCACGCTATATTCTTGTATTATCTCGGGCCGCGTTCTCGTCCGATTCAACATAATGCCATCTCAATATTTTGCTCATTTACTCGTTGGGAATCATTCGGAGTTAATTTCCTATCGGCATTTCTTCTGTTGGATGTTTCATGTGTTGCTGCAACGGAATAACTTTCAAGCATGAAAGGAGGCTCATTAAATTTTTCTAACTTTTACATTTTAATAATTGCCAGCGGTTTTAAAAGAAGAGTAAAACGCAGTAGAGACAATTATTGTGTAACTCAAATTATTTGTACAGAACAATGAATCGTTCTAGGACACGGTCATCTTGTAGTGTATTAATTAAATTTAAGTAATTCAATATATTTTATAGATTGTACGGTACCACTCCCATGTCCAAGGTAGAAGACATTCTGGTCTGTTTATCGATTAGGGATTTCGGTATTCTTACCGCGGGGCTTTTTATTCCTGTATCTTGCAACCACAAAACTAATAGAATAATATTCCAGATTTTCTATTTTTTTTTTATCCCGAAATGGTTGGAAATATCTCGCGTTTAGTTTGCTACCACTCAATAGCTTGGTGACAAATAACTTACGTATTACGCAAAAATATAATGCAACTTCTTAACAAAGAACATTCCCTAAGTTGTGGTTCGGAGAATTTCGAGATTGTCGCAGTAGTTATTACTTCGACACTTTTCTTCCGTGTCCAGACTTTGTTAACATCTATTGTCGAGTTCCAGAGCATGAACTAAAAGTGATCGAAGAACGCGGATCATTAATATAATGTTACATCCTAACATGAAAGCCAGCATCTCCGCTAAGTGAAGACATAAGCAGCCATCAACAGAAAGTACCTGGTTAACCTTTCACTCAACTGATTTTCGATCTAGCGACGCAAACGAAAAATTTTGTTCTTGAAAAAAAGATTAAAAGAAAAATAGTCAATAAAACCAATTATATGTTTTTCGATTACACCTATTTGCTGGAACAAATTATGCAATTCTATATTAATATTAAGGGAGATAAGTATCCGTGAAATAGTCACCTAGCACCGTACGCCCGCTGGTGCCAGAGACGCGCTGCTTACGCACTGTAGCAGTTCGGCTGCCAGATGGGCCTTTTCCCGGCCGAATTTGCACGTTTTGGATTTTTCGCCAAATTGAGTATTTCGGTTAAAAAATCTAAAAAAAACTAATAAAATTAGGGGTACTTCCTTATTAAATTCTAAAATTACAAAACAGGAAATAAAATTTTACACCGGAATCTACAAATATACTAGTATATATATTGAGTTATATGCCTTTTTGGCCTTTTTTGTTCGCGGATTTGGCCGTTTTTAGGTCATCTGGCAACCCTGTGTTCGACAACATCAGTAGACAGTCATCACTGATATTCTCAAAGGAATTCAAAACGCTAAGCCGAGCGGCCTGATGAAACGAAAAACAAAGTATCCAATTTAGTCAAGATTTTAATTGTGCCACAGAGACTAATTACAATGAGGAATAATTTTGATGCTGATATGTTCTAATTCCATAATTTAGAAATCAATTACGCCGATAGAGACAGCTTGAACTAAAATTCAAATGCGCAGCGTGTCTCACCTGAACCGGGTAACCATTTTCCAGAATGACAAACATAACACAAAATCGTTAACATTGACTGATTTCATACCAAATATTCAAGTAGACCATCAGACTAGGTATTATTGCAGATTAACTACATCCAAAAAAAAGGGTGTTTTTTTTTTTAATTATATGTTTTTTGGGGTGTAGATTACGAATCTGAAATCCATTTTTGGCGGTCGGCATCGGAAAACCGATTTTTTTCGCGACTTACTAACATGGGGGTTACGTAACTTACACGCCAAAAATGGATTTCAGATTCGTAATCTACACCCCAAAAAACATATAATTAAAAAAAAAACACCCTTTTTTTTGGATGTAGTTAATCTGCAATAATACCAAATGGATTTCAGATTCGTAATCTACACCCCAAAAAACATATAATTAAAAAAAAAACACCCTTTTTTTGGATGTAGTTAATCTGCAATAATACCTCAGACTATAACGGGTAAAGTTTTCTTGCGAGGACAACATGATGGTATATAAACACCGATGACATGCCATATTCGAACCTTGAATGTTGTACGAGTGAGTGAGGTCTCGGGCATTTTTCCGGCAGGCCTTGTGGCCGGTCTCCAAGATTTTACATGTACACAATGAGGCTCCCATGAAAAGAGAACAAATTCCCAAAATGAATTCTGGCAGAAATTAATTTTTTTTGGTTTGGTGGCTTTATTTCTCAAGTTCAATAGACCACTAAAAAACGTTCCAGGTGCATGGTAAATGTTTGAAATTACAATTAGATTCGTATTCAGAGATACATGATAGAAATTATAAAGAGGATGTTTTTAGACGTGATTATATTCATAATTTGATACCTTAATGTTTAATTTCAGGTCGCGTATAGAGGACTTCTAAACTCTTATTAATCTAAATTATATTTCTCTAACCTAATGATTTTTACTGCACTCATAAGAACTATTAAATATTTATACACAATATATAGTGATAATAAGCACGAAGATATTGTTAGCCTCTTTGACTTAAACCTAAGATAAATATATCATAATGATTAATCGATGGAATTTCTATTATATTAAGAATTTACAACAATATTTAAAGTTTCGTAGCAAATTCTGACACATAGTTTCACAGTAGAATATATCGGAATGATGAGTATGTTATACCTGCAGTTTTTTCCTTAATGGATTATTCATTAGTTCACCATTATTAATATTAGTGTTGGCATCAAACTTACATCCTGGAATGAACTTCCTCAGGCATGCGACCACTACGCACATATACCGAATGAACGCACTCAATTTCAATTCAAACCAAATAAAAAGAATGATAAATAGAATATGATTCTGCGAAAATTCATTCATAAAATTTAAACTGAAATTATAATTATAATTTGATGTTAGTATAATTTGATGTTAAATGCACGCGACTGCAGCTATGTTAGTCAGTGAGAAGATCACGCAAAGCTAAGTGGCCGAATTAATAATTTCTTGATAGAACTTACGGATACATGGCAAATTTATACGACTCTAATTTTGTTTTTAGCAAAAATTCTAGCTTTATTGAGGAATTTGGTTGAAAAGTTTGGCTATCTACGTGTCAAAGTTGATCTTTCTTTTGCATTAGAAACGCTATGCAGTAATTGACTTTGAAAACTCAATTAAAAAATTAATTAAATTTTGTTAAGATTACACAGGGGAGCCAATACCGTAGGGATTTGCATGATCAGGGAATTAACTAAAAACTTTAGCTGTCATAATTTCAAATTTTATATTATCCTACACAAGTGTTTAAATCCAGGAGACTTTAAATGGATAAACTTATTTAGATGGCACTAAGATTTATCGCTTGGCCGTGATAGCCCTCAGTGACGGTCGACAGCCTATGTAACTCATGGGAATGATTTTTTTAGATAAGATGCAACAATACAGACATACTTCAAATATTATTCTGATAATGAAGGCCTAACGAGATTCATTGGTCGAGAAAAGCAAGTGGTAGATGTTAAATACATGAAAGCAATAAATATGAGTAGAGAATCCCTGGCTTTTATAAGCAGAGAGTCTCTGAGTCTTCAGTTCATGGCGCTGCGTAGAATCACATCATCAAGAGACGTGCCTGCTTCGTCACTTGTTGAACCTGAAACCATGAAAATAAAAACAATACTTAGTGAATGAAGCGCCTCGTGTCTCCTTAATTTGTTCGGCAATTAAAAAATCTCCAGTTTAGACAGCCTAAATTTCTAATTATTTCAGCTTTAATCGATTAGAGAGATAAAAATTTTAGAGTTTTCCTTATGTTTATTATGTATGAAGCTTTTTTAATTGAGTGTAAAATTGCTCTTAATAAAAAATTTATAACACAAAAAAATGTTTGCTAATCTCGCTTCCCATTAATGTGACCTCGCTCCGTGACACGTAGCAGTTGGAAAAACTATACACAAAAAGTTTCCAATGCTATAAATTAGCTGCATACGTTGCATTCAGACAATGCTAAACTTCTCACAAAAATTCATTATGAATTTTATTCAGTGAATCAATAATTTTAATATGGTGTATGTACTTTTTACGTACCTTTTATTTTAAGAAACTTTTAAATTGAAGGAACATTTTTATTGTGATATTATAAGAGTTTATCTTTGTTTTTATGCCTATTTTAAATGCTAATACTGTAAAATATTTCGTTTAGTTGTAAACATTCAGAGGCCACGCAATTTTGTTGCCGAATTAAAAAAATTCATTCAACTATTTTTGCTTAAACTTCAAATCTACATGGTTGTTACAAGGTTTCCAACCTGCAGGGTCATTACTCTGTTTCGTACCAGCAGAACTATTACTATAAAAACTGTATTGTAACGACTTAATTTCGAACCTGAGGAGTTATTATTTAGTTTCAAGCCTGCAGAGTTATTATTTAGTTTCGAACCTGCAGAATTATTATTTAGTTACAAACCAGCAAAGTTATTATTTAGTTTCGAGCCTGCAGAGTTTTTTATTTAATTTCGAACCTGCAACGTTTTAATCTAGTGTCGAACTTGCTGAATTACTATGTAGTTTCAAATATGCATAATTATTAAATTATTATTAACAATCAAACCTGTTAAGGAAGTTCCAGGGGCTGAGCGCATTGACAAGCCCTGAGAAGGGCTCCTGGATGCTCTTCATGAGTCCGTTCCCCTCATGATGATGCGAGGGCGACATCATCATGTGGCTTTGCTGGGCATGTGATCCGCTGCGCATCATGCTGGAGTGGTGATGCATCATATCATGCATCTGCATGTGGGGGGGATCTGGGTGCATCACATCCAAAGGATGAGTGGGTGATGTAGGACGGGCGTGGCTGTGAGCAAAGTCCTCCATGACGCTGTTGCCGTCCATCATCATCATGATGGACGATGTCTTGGGCTTGTGGAACATGGACGAGCCGCCCATCGCGCACATAGACTTGTAGTTCACGCCGTCCTCCTCTGGATTAAAAACAAACCATTAAAATAAATGCGATATTTTAAAACAATAGTACATTTCCACGTGCTTGAGCGTGTAACCGAACGCGGATTACAGAGGGAGCGAGAGAAAGAGAGAAATATAGAAAGCGATTATAATAGCTCTCTTAATTTTTTGAGAGAGAAAGCTCTCTCAAGTTCTTATTAGAGAGAGCGCCCTCATAATAATTATTATAGCTACAATCCCGAAGTTGATATACAGACATTAATTAATGGTATCATAGTAGCAGTTTCTCACCGCACAGTCCTTGGTAATCGGTAGACGGGCGCAAGCCATTGCCAACACAATACGGCTGTCCAGGATACCCGACTTTGTACATGCTGCCTCCCACCACATTCCCTCTGTGGACCAATAATATTAATATAATAATATAGCGGTTTCAGCATTTTATTAGGCCGTAGACCTGTTGCCGATTCTTAACATTGCAGAACATCCACGGGTTGTTGCGGGCTTGAATATGCAACTCACTGCTTCAAAATTTCTTTGCTTAACCGCTCGGCCTCCTTGCCGATTCTGACCAGAAACTGGCGCACAGAGCTGGGGTCGAACCCGCGCCTCTCTGCTAAAATCTTGGTACTCTGAACTTTAACCACTGGGCCACCATTCGTATCTCATATTCAATGGTTATTCAATGGAAACGAGTTCTAAGTATCACAATTCTTCTCCAGAGTTCCACGATTACATAACAAATTCAACGTATCATATTCAATGGCTTTTCAACGGAAACGAGTTCTAAGCATTACAATTTCTCAGAAGTTCCCGATTACATCACAAATTTAATATATCTGATTAAATGGCTTTTCAATGGAAACTAGTTCTAAGTATCACACTTTTTATCCAGAGTTTCACAATTACATCACAAATTAAACGTAGAACATTCAATCACTACATCACAAAACTCTACGTAAGAACGCACCCTGGGCCATAGTTGCAGACGTAGAGCTTGGTGTAGCCGTTGCCTGCAGCATCGTGGTAGTAGGTATAGCCGCAGCCCACCAAATATGTCTCCGCCCAAACCAACTGTTATAGGATTTATTCCATTCAATTAGTATGGCATTATTTCTATTTATTATATGAATGACGTGAAAACTTGTGACATGTTATAAAAAGAACTTTTGAATCGTGTAGTTGAAAAAAGAGCTATCAACTATCAAAGGATTTAATACGCCCTTAACGTACAACCTCTTTTAGCCGCTATAGTAACGGGTTGAATTATATTATCACAATTATATACACGGTCACGTTTAATATCAGAGAAAAGTCAGCTTATACCGGTAAATGTGCCTGTCATCAGTGCTATACTTACAGGTCACTAAGTCTTGAGTGGCCATACAAAAAAAATTTCCTTTGTAAGGTCACTCAAAAAAAAAACTGCTGGAGGACAAAATTTTTAAAATCGATTTAAGTTCAAACTTTACATGCTACAATTACTGAAAAAAGCTGGTAATATTTTACATCATACCAAAGTGCTGATCCGAGTCACTTTTAATTAATTTAACTTTAATTTTTTTCATTACTTCTTTTTAAACTCAAAATATTTAATAACATCATGACCACATGCAGTACAGACCTGCGTGTAATGTCCAGTAGGCTTCGAGAACTTGAAGGGGTCTACAGCCCCCTTGCTGAACCCATGCTGGTCCACCTCCATGAACCAGGCCTCGACTTGCGTCAGGAAATCCGGTTCGTGTCCTTCGTCGCGGTCGTAGGTCCACACGGCCGCCACGTTTTGGCCCGCCGCGAAACGCTCTGTTCGATAACATTTTATCAATAATTTAATACATAACATGTGTTTAATATATAATGTCATGTTTAATATAACATTTAATATATAACATAGCGGTGTCAGTGTTGGTTAAAACGTACTGCCTGTGGCCGATTTTTACTCGTCTGGCCATATGCCTATTTCAGCCAGAATTTTCACAACATGTTATGGGTCGCGAACCCGCTACTTTCATTTTCAATCTTGGTGTTCTTAACCACTCACCCGCTCCTAGTAACCGAAAATCCAGTAGTAAAAAGCAGTGGTTATTGTAATAATGATGTTTTAATTGGGAGAATGGGGCACGAATATGAATGTGAACAAAATTATTGAGTTAATAATGACGGACAAATTGATTGTACTTCAGAGTTATTGGTCATATAATAAGAAGATCAATTCCAATGAATTTAATTATTCAATTATTCATGAGTAACTTCAGCAATGTTGGCACCGCCATAGAGTTCAGGCAAGCAGACGCTACTGATGGGAGTTATCGAGCGGTGCGAATAAGCCCGATTGTTTCAATAGATAACTTAACATTAAGCTCAAAGCAAGTTTTGAATATTTTTGAATATTTTTTAAACAACAAATTTCAATATATTTCCACCATATTTGATTGCGCAAAGAATATGCAATAATTTACACTCATACCAACAGAAAATTAAATCAATCATGTATACCAATTCGTATATAGTTCGTGCTGAAAACTATGAATACATTTATACTGATAAGTTGGCAAGCAGCGAATTTATCGCCGCCTATTTCCCGGCTCCATTGTTCGACGTGAAATTAAGAAAAGAAAAATAGGTTCATTAACAAGCCAATGGCATGTCCGCCCACAAGAACATTCTTTGAATGACCTCCTTTAATAATTTCCCGTTCTAAGAGTTCCTCGTCATGAAAGTAAATGAGCGAACTAAGCACTTCTTTGTCTCGCCATTTCTCACCCGAGCTTCCGCGCCCAGACGCAACGAAACATCGGGAAATGACGTTTACACGCACCGGGAAATAACGTACACACGAACCGGGAAAGAACGTGCACATACGAACGCTGTAAACGCCGAATAATTTACTGCGCATGCTGCCGATAATAAGAAAAAATAAGTATGAATATTTCACTCTTCGACGCTGAATTAATCCCGCGGACATCAAATATTACTCCTGGCACTGTTGAAAACTAGTTTTAAAATGCTAATTTTGTTCAGCGGCGTTCAGATTAAAATTGAAATATGTATCCCTATATATCTCTTGATAAGCTACGTGTATTAAGCCACGAAAAGCTACGTATATTAAGCGCACGATAAGCTACGTGCATTAAGCGCACGATAAGCTACGTGTATTAAGCGCACGATAAGCTACGAGTATTAAGCGCATGATAAGCTACGTGTATTTATAGCGTGCGCGTCACCGCCAAGATTGACTGCACAAATTCCTTAGCATTTCCTCATTGAATTACCCGCGGCTACAGACACACTGGAACATCAGGCCCAGGCTTATATTAACACATTCGATGCAGGTTCTCATATACGAATATTATAAGTGCGCGATATTTTGCAAACTGAATATGACATTTTTAGGATTGAAGGCAAATAAGAGGAGCAACTGCTGCTAGTCTCATATCGACCAGCTGTCCAGCATTAATGGCTTTAGAAATACCCTTTAGTGCCTACGAGGCTTCTTAATCGCAATACTAGTCATACATAGGCAGTGTTGAATATTTTTATAAGGGGGTGAATATAAATTTACTTTCCATTTATTAGGAGCTAGGCAATTTGAGAGTTCAAAGTTATATTCTTTCTCTTAAATTATCTGCCGACTCCTAACGTAATTGATTCCGGCTGCTAAAACACAAAATTCGCCGCCGTTCGAGGCAACCTGTAGATTTCTCGATATTTGATTTCCTTTACCAAATAACGGGATGCCAATGCTCTGTAATTTACAAACAATATTACTTCTTAAGTTAATAGGGGAACTTATTGAAACAAATCCAGCAATCAGCATTCTAGGCCGTGCATGAATGAGACTCATGACCCTGAGCTGGGTTCCCTCTCATCAATGAATCATCGCTGAGCTGAGCAGCGTCGTCGGCCCTGACGAGCAGCGAAGAAAGTAAGTCAGGCTCATGAAGACCTCAGCCTTACGCATTCATTCACAGCCTCATACATGACCTTGACCATACAGGGGGCTACACACCACACACACCTCCTGGCCATTACAGGGCTACAGCTGCACACCACACACACCCCCTGGCCATTACAGGGCTAGAGCTGCACACCACGCACACCTCCTGGCCATTACAGGGCTAGAGCTGCACACCACGCACACCTCCTGGCCATTACAGGGCTACAGCTGCACACCACACACACCTCCTGGCCATTACAGGGGCTAGAGCTGCACACCACGCACACCTCCTGATTTTTATACACAGATGATTAGTTTTATGATTAGTTTTCGCATCACAAATCAAAAGTCTCGATCGCGACGTACGCTGACTTTGAATATAAACTGCATGAGAAAATCTGCGGGGAGACGGCAGCGGAATACATTGAGAGATCAGACTGGATATATTAATGCAAGATAGCGACCATACAGAGCACGTAAGTGATAAACGCATGCCCTATACGTAATATAATCCAATTCAAGAAGATTGAGACGACTTAGATATTGCTGAGTTTATTCATGTAATTTCCGACTTCGACATTCACAACATGTGTTCCATACATACTACGTTTTATAGCTTTTCCGCCATTGTGCAAGTTCAATAAGTCATTAAGATGTACAGATTGAGTAAATGATAATCTCAGTAATGGAAACTGAAATTGGGTGCGTACATTGAGAAATTAAAAATTATTTGACGAAAGATTGTCTTTTTCCAGTCGAGTTCGTGCCGATCCGACTTTAAAATCTAGTTCTTCATTGCAATAACTTGCGAAAAATGTGAATAAGTCGCGATCATTATTCACTCGCATAATTAATAAAAATACAAAATTTAATTCGCTTTATGCAAGTCAAAATCTTTGTTGCAAGTTCTTCAGAGTTAGGTGTCCCATACAGGAATTTAAGCCCGACAGTCTACTTTAATTGTTGCCTAAGGTGGTCATGCTGCGGCAAAGTGTTGCCCAATGAAGACGACCGCAGACAGAATTATCATCTCGAGCCTTAAAGTGCAAGTCTTTTTCCGGGTGCCTTGATAGGGGCGGCGCGCCGGCCAGTCTGAAGCGACATGCGGAAGAGCGAGCGAGCAATCAGCTTGCTCAGTATACATGCCTGCCTGCCTACAGCTACTGCTGCTACATGAGAGCTACTGCTGCTGCTACGTGAGAGTTACTGCTGCTGCTACATGAGAGTTACTGTTGCTGCTACATGAGAGCTACTGCTGCTGCTACATGAGAGCTACTGCTGCTGCTACATGAGAGCTACTGCTGCTGCTACATGAGAGCTACTGCTGCTGCTACGTGAGAGTTACTGCTGCTGCAACATGAGAGCTACTGTTGCTGCTACATGAGAGCTACTGCTGCTGCTACGTGAGAGCTACTGCTGCTGCTACGTGAGAGTTACTGCTACTGCTACATGAGGGCTACTGCTGCTGCTACATGAGAGCTACTGCTGCTGCTACGTGAGAGCTACTGCGTCACAGCTACTGCTATTACCTGAGAGCTACTACTGAGTCTACTGCTAGGGCGTAAGAGCTACTGCCGGGTCTACTGCTGGGACGTGAGAGCTACTACAGAGTCTACTGTTGGGTCTTGAGAGCTACTACCGTGTCTACTGCTGAGACGTGAGAGCTACTACACTGTCTGCTATTGGGACTTGAGAGCTACTACAGAGTCTACTACTGGGACATGAGTGCCACTGCTGAGTCTACTGCTGGGACGTGAGAGCTACTGCCGGGTCTACTGCACATTTTTTTAATTGACAATACATAAAATATTACAATACCCTAAACAAGGCAAAAAAGGCGAAACACACGTGCGCAAATCCATGAATGGCCACACAGATAGAAGTGTTGACGCGGTGCCATCATGTCTACCGCATGCCTGCGCCGCGGAGTCTACCTCAGCATCTACGTTTACAAGGTCAGAAAGATTAAGTGGCATTCCAGCATTTCGTGCACATATATACGAGAATAATTTGTATTTAATTCATTATCACATGAGCATGGCTGGTGTACTAGCTAGCAACTCAATAGTTGCTGATATAGAGTTGCAGACTTACGTACATATCGCTTGATATTTCAAGTGATTTTAAGGATTACTTTTATAGCACGCACTGTATAACTAAAAAACGCGCATGTAGTTTTAAACACATGATAATAATTAATGCTCAAACATGATAGATTAACTTACATCTTGTTTGTTATTCATTAAATTAAAAAAATTTTTTATAGATGGTAAATTGATACTAGACAATTTTAGAATCAGTTCCTTTGCATTTCCACCATTAATTGGCTTTGCAAAGTAGAATTTTTTGCCTGCAACAAGGAATTTTGTAGAAGCAGCAGTAGCAGTAGTAGTATTTAAAATTAAAAAATTTGGTAAAATTAAATCTTAAAATTGTAGTAGTACTTGAAATTGACAGTGTACCATTCTTGAGTCGATCAATTTTGTAAGGTCAATTTATTGATCATCCTGAGTCTATCTGTCGACGAGGTCATGCTGATGATTCACAGGTCGTTCTACCATTATTTCTCAAGGTAGACTCTCATGAATGGCATCTACACAACTGGACTATGAACACACACCACGTGAACACTGCGTGTTCTGACTCTCACCTGAACACAAAGATGAAAATGAATGACATTCGTGAGGAATGAGTGCTAAAAATATCATTATCTTTATCTTTCTCAATATCAATATCTTTAGAATAGAATAGAATAGAAGTGTCGGCGTTGAAGAAATAGGCCCATGGCCTGTTGCCGATTCTTGAACTTTTCGTGACTTGATTCACGAGGGATCCGGCCTTAATGAGTATACTTGTATACTTCAAT